CTGGACCCTCCGGAGCGGGGCTCGGCTCCTCCACGCAGGGCACGCTTTCTCTGCGCCCCCTTTCAAATCCCCAGTTCTTACCCTCTTTCCAGCTGCTGTCATATTCGTCATGAGCCACCTCACTACCTGCCCTGCCTACAACATTAAGTTTTGTTCTGAACCCGGCTTATTTCATGTATTACCCGCCAACGCTTCGGTTGCTGTTCAGAACAGCGCCGGCAGGAACAAACGTGAGGTCCGGATGGATTACTGACCCGGGAGCGCCACGCGCTCCATTCAGAAGCGCAAAGGTAAAAACCTTTCAAAAGTCCTGCAAGACCTCTCACAGGTCATTGTGGGCATGAGTCAAGGCCCGAAACGCCAGGGCCTTCAAAGACACTTTTTAGCAGTGCCGTTACATTTTAATACATTAGACAGTCTCGATCAGCATGTCGTGGCTGTCAAGATAGATTTTAATTGCTGAAAACGAGATTCATCAATTTCAAGCCCTTCTTTAAACCGTGAAGAAAGAAACTTTCAAAAACATGGAGTAATCACTCAAGTAGATTCATCATAGCTGATGCAGGGAGAGTAAGACAAAGGTTAAGATTTGCCCAAGGTCAGAGTCAGAAACTGAACCAAGCCTCGAATGCAGGTCTTTTAACTCCATCCACCAGAACCAGACAAACTTCCCTGGCAAGAACGGCTCTGACAGCAGTGCCATGATGCAACACATGAGTGTATGGTCAAGAATCAGTGACTGCATTACAAATTTCAGTAGGAAACTGCACAGGTCTGGCTAAAGCTGCCCCTGGATTATGGCCACAGACTGGTAAATTAAACCCATCGTGTCAAGAGCTTTTTTTCTAAATGCCATATCTTGTACAGAAAGAAACTGCTCCATTCTGCTAATGCCTTAGAGGCCTCTATTAAAGACGTTCGGGCATAGAAACTAGCTTCTGTCCGCTGTCAACCACAATCAGTGTTTGGGAGAAAAAGAGGTTGGTGGGGGGTTAGATGACAAAACAAATCAAGTCACACACCCAAGTTTTAAGAGGCTGTTACTTCTCTTAAAACATGGAGTTTTCTCTTAATATAGTGCAACTCGAAAAGGAGAGAGGGGTAATATGGAGGACAGATCTGATTAAGTAAGCTGATAACACTGGTTTAGAATGAGATACTTCCTTCAGTCTGCCCCGCTGTGGGAGACACAGCAGAGAAGGTAAAGCAGCTACTACAGGGCACAGAGCAGGTAACTCATGCATGGCTGTGAAGCACAGGGACACTGAGGAAGTCCCAAACTCTAGCCTTTCAAGCACCTGTTTGCAGGTTTCTGTGGGGGCACGGAGAAGAAGAGGACCTATAGACAGTTGAAAAATTGTGAAATGAGCTTAGTTAGGAGAACAGAAAGGAAGGATAACAGCAAAAGACGTCAAGTCATCAGGAAAAGCTAAGGCAATACTTTAAAACAGGCAGCTAGAGACAGCATCTCCTGACTCCTTCAGCAGCAGAGAGTGCAAAACATGTTCTGAAATCCATCACCTCCCAGTTCTGCTAGTCAGCCACACGGGTCACTGCAGATACAAGCACAGTTGACAAATGACTTCCAGTATCCACAGACACTGAAGAGAAGAGTCCGGGCATCATGGCAGTAAGTTGTCTCTGGTAGCAATAGTTTTCTTTGGTACAACAGGAAGTTTCCAGGGCAGTCACAGGCATTTTGTGGAGTAGAGGATAGCAGAACCAGCTTTCTAGCGCTCCCTCATCTCGTCAGTGGCTCACCTCTGGCAAGAAAAGCCAAACACGGTCCCCCCTCCCCCCCCACCCAAGAGCGCTGGCAGACCAGAAGCAACCCACTGACAGGGGCAACCACTTACCCCAAAGTGCTCAGCACAAAGTTCTCCTGCTTGATCGTTCCTTCCGAGCCACTCACCGGCAGCGCAAACCTGTGAGAAGCCTCCTGCCCGACAGAGAGGACATAGTAAGTGCTGGAGTTTCCAGACCCGGAACAAAGACCACACAGGATCAGAAGAAAAAAGGCTAGTGAGCAGTCTAAGACAGCACAGTCATCTCTGCAAGTCTCCGGAGATCTGCCCAGCAAAAGGAGAGCAGGACAAAGACCTCCCCTCCTTCTCATCTGGGGCAAGCTTAGCACAGTAGGAGGCTCCGTTTGCTTCCTCACAAACATGTAGGGAAGCAGCAGGAAATTCACTGTTGCAGCTCAGGCCCCTACAACCAGACAACGATGTTAGCGATTCCTCCGGCTTGCGTGTGGGCACTGAACTTTGCACAGCAGGAAATTCCCTTTACACAGCCCAGTCCGTACGTGGCCTTCAGGCTGCCGGTGCCCTGCCCCGCTCGCAGTGCAACAACTGGCCTGGAACTACAGCGCAAAAGCAATCGGTCTTGTATACACGCGCTAACTCCCAAAGGAAAACCGGCCCTCCTGGCTGGTTACACTGGCGGGCGACTGTCCTCCTAACCGCGTTTCATCTCGCACACTGTAACAGTTGTTTCAAAACATGCCTG